ACATATACTGTAGGTAACAGCATCCTTCTCTGGGCACAGAGTGAGTTCTTCTCTGAATGTTCCCTCCTGTGGCTCTGTGACTGTGTTCATTCTGTACCTACAGTTCAGGTGATAATGTGCCGACACACAGAGCAGGAAGGCAGCAGCCGAACATGAACGTAGAGACTCACATTAAAATTAAAAGTACGATCCAGCGTCTCTGTGAATCGACACCCGGCTCTGGTTTTCCCCTCTCTCTCTCTGCTGGAGTCTATTTTTAAATGTCCGTCCTACAAAAACAGCTTCGCTTCGGTATCGCTCAGGAACCTAATGCGGTCCAGATTGTCTCTGTGTGGGAAACTGCAGTCAGTGTTTACAGATATGTGAAGGAGGACGTCCTCTCCTCCGCTCCGTCTTCTCTTCTGTTTGTGCTGAAACTCAAAGTTTATCAGTGAAAATTTCCCCAAAGCTTGAAACTGGATCTCCGACAGGTTTACTCCACGACGGTTTGGGTCTGCCAAGTTTCATTCATGGGAAATGTTTACCCTGAAGTACAGCGTTAAGTATGGCTGCTTCCATTCCAACACGTCTCAGTTTCAAGTAATCAGTGGCCAGAAAGCCTCAGCCACCTCCACGTTCATCCATCACTGCAGCCCTGTGAGGCTGTAAAGTGACATTTAGTGTTTAAAATACTGAGAAATGTTTGTTATTACATGGAAATATGTTGACACGTCTTCTTTTGTCTCGCTGTCAAAACCTTTCAAGTTTGCTGTCGTAGAAAACTGAAGCCATCATTTAGATTTCAGAAGAGTTTTTGGCGCTTTTCCCCAAAACAATCAGCTGTCAAAACAGTTTTCAGCTAATTTCCTGTCATTAACTAATCAGCTGATTGTCTTGTTGTGGAAACAACAAACCTGGCGCGACACTGATCCGGCCTTATCAGAGCGAAACCCAAGACAACTCCTTAACTACTCGATACCACGATGCAGCTCCTCCTCTCTGTCTGCATTTATTTGTAGCTTTAAAGCAGTTTTTATTTAATATTTTATTCTGTCCTTCTCTGGTTTTGTTTGAACTCAAAGCTCTGCTAACAGTCGGCTGTGTTTCTCTGCTTCAGTCTCTGATCCTCAGCTGGACTCCGGAAGCTCGGGTCTGATTACGGTATCTGAACCGGAGAGAACAGACGTCCAGGCTCCAGGTACGATTACGCACAAAATGAGGCCGTGAATAGTTTTTATTATCGATTTCCTCGTGTCAGTCCAGAATAAACCTCCATGAATCCACACAGACAAGATGCTGCCTGAGAATCCTGGTGTCGTTTAGGTTCTCTTCAACGCAAGCTGGAGTTACAAAAGACGCAAATTCAACACAAAGAGATTCAAAATGACCACAAAGAGACACAATCAGACCATAAAGAGACGCAAAATGACCACAAAAGATACATAAAACCACCATCAAGGGATGCCAAATCCTGACAGAGACAGGAGGAACACAGAAACACATAATCCCTAAGAGACACCAAACTAACAGAAGAGGGATGCAAAATAACTACAGATCAGTCCAAAGGGACCTTAGAGACACACAAAACCACCACAACGAGATGCAAGATGACCATTAACAGATGCAGAATGACCACAAACTGATGCAAATTACAACAAAGTGATGCTAAATGACCTCAAATGGATGCAAAATTGCCGCAGAGCCAAAAGAAATACTACAAAATGGTGCAAAACAAGCACAAATAGACACAAAACCACTGCAAAGGTATGCAAAACGACCACATAGACATAAATCCACCACAAACAAATGCAAAATGACCGCAAAGGGATGCAAAATCACTGCACATAGACACAAAAGTACCACAAAGGGAAGCAAAATGAGCCCAAAGGGCTGCAAAACAAGCACAAATAGACACAAAACAACCACAAAGGGATGCAAAATGGCCATCAGTGGATGCAGAATTCCCACAAACTGGTGCAAAATTACAACAAAGTGATGCAAAATGACCTCAAATGGATGCAAAATTAATACAAGGGACCCAAAATTGCCACAGAGTCAATATAAATACCACAAAGACACTCAGAACGACCCGGCCTGTTCACTTTAAGCACCGAGCTGATGCTTTAGTTCGAGGCCTCGGACTGCAGGGTTAAAGGAACCCAAAACAACGACAGGTTTTTCTTTTGCGTTGTGGAAATTATTAAAATGTCATCAATTAAAAATACATTCAACTCTGGATGATATGTTGACAGAACAGCAGGATACAGGTTCAAACAGCTGAGGCAGTGCTGAAGAAATACTGCGTTCTTGTACTCGTACATTTCCTTCTCCATGAGGAGACGTGAGGTGAAAGCAGCCGTGAAGAATGCACCTCTTTTGTTTCACCTTCGGTCTGAACGGTGTCGGAGCGCTCTGACTCATTCCTGCCTCTCTAACAAAGTGAGGAAGCTCAGCGACGCTCGGCTTCGATGGACCTCCAGCGGGTCAGGAGAAGGTCCGGCTGCCCTCCACCTCCCTCCTCCACCCGGGGAAGTGGGAGTGGGTGAGCCGCTCCCAACAGACCCTCCGCCAAGGTCAGCGTCCCCCCCGACATCCTGGAGCTGTAAACACACCGTGAGTCACCCTGACGGAGGCGAGTACGTCAGCCTCCTGATGAGAGTTTGTTCTGTACGGAGGTCGGAGGTCGCAGCAGCCTGATGAAGCTGATGTTAGTGTGAGCTGACGGAGTGACCAAGCTGAGGACCACAGGGCTTGTTTGTTTTGACTTCAGCCCACAACTTCCTCAACAAAAATTATAACCACGTCTAAAACAAAGATTAAAATAAAACATACGGAAAGTAAGATTTAAAAACAAGAACTGTAAAGAAATTCACGTTTTTGGTCAAAACTGACCAAAACAATCACAAAGGGACGCTAAACAAGCGCAGACAGAAGCTAAAGTGGCCACAAAGGGAAGCAAAACGACCACAAAGAGACGGAAAATGACCTCCAGACTGATGCAAAGTGATCCTGAAGAGATGAAAAACAAGAAAAACAAAGTGCACAATGACCACAAAGAGGCTTAAAACTACAAGGGGATGCAAAATGAGCACAGAGATAGAACGTGTCCACAAAGAGAAGAAGAAAAAAAATGAAGAAAACTAAAAGCATTGAATGATGCAATTAACCACAAAAGGATGAAAAATGACCACATAGAGACTCAAAGCCATCAGATCGATGCCAAATCATCACAGGTGACAAAAAAAAGAGGTGCAAAGACACCAAAGTGAAACTCTAACTGACCACAGAAAGCCATAAAAAGACAACAAGGGGATGTGAAATGGCCACAAAATGATGCAAAACTACAACCAAGATGCAACATTACTACAAATAGATGCAAATAAAGGGAATCTAAACAACCACAGAGATGGAAAATGTGCAGAGGGATGCCACAAAGTGATGCCAAAAGGGGACGCCAAATAAGCATAAAGAAGTGCAAAATGACCACCAGTGAATGGTCTGCCAACAATCACTGAGATTCACAACTACCTAAAGAAAACATATTCAATTCAATTTTATTTGTATAGCGCATATTTACAACAACAAGTCATCTCATAGCGCTTAACAAAGGCAGAAACAGAAAAAAGACAAACAAACATATAATGACCACAAGAAGCCAGAACATAATGTGGGGATGCAAAATGATCCAAAATGGATCCAAAGTGACCACAAAGGGACGCAAAACTACTACAAATACAAGAAATAAGTAAAACGGAATGCAAAGTTACAACAAACAGAAGTAAACGACCATGAAGAGAAGCCAAACAACCATAAAGGGATGCACAATGATCAACAAGTCCAAAGGGATGCAAAATGACCACAAAGTTACGCAGAACAACCACAGAGATGCAGAATTTACCACAAGGGATGCAAAGTGATTACAAAGAGACGTCAACTGGCCACAAAGAGACAAAGGATGATGACAAAGGGATGAAAAATGACCACAGAGGAGGACGTTTGGGCCTTTTTGCATTTCCCACATTCCCTTCACTTTATCATCCATACAAACCCAGACTCTCGCTGTTTCCTGTGACTTCTGGACTCTGTTCAGGGTTTTCTGACTGGTTCACTCTAACTTGACGTTCTGGTTTTGTTCCACCAGATGAAGGTCAGCCCAAGCGTGCTGCGGAGGTATTTCAGTTCAGCAGGATACGTGCCGTGAACATGAAATATTTATACCCTGCGTGGCACCGAGAACTCTGAGAATCAAAACAGTCGATGTTTTTGGAAAAGGCTTCAGACTGAAATAGCCCTTTGGCCTTTAGAGGCTCGATTCAACAAAGAAACACAAACAAACGCACACCTCCACATGGTACGGTCCGATCCCACCACGCCTCTGATTGAAGCGGCTTCCTGCCGGCTGACGTCGACGCAATTAAATCATCAACGCGAACGCAGCTCTGCAGAAATACACCGGACACAATAACAGGAACACCTTCAGATGCAGCACACATGAGTCATCATCAGCTCGTAAAGCATTTACAACCCGCTGGCAGATCAGAGCGGGCTGGACAGGTGTCTCCGTTATCAGGTTGTGCACATTAAGAGTTAGCTATCTTAATTTATTCATGCAAAATTACACCTTAATTGTCTTTGAAAACAACTTAAAACTCCTGAAATCATCTTCCAAAGGTCCCTAAAACGGAACCCAATCTTTTTCTAGTTGTGTTGCATCTCCTGGTCGCCTTTGTAGTCTGTTGTGTCTCTTAATTTGTGTCTTTTTGTGGTGGTTGTGCCTCTCTTTACTGTCATTTAGTGTGTCTTTCTAGACCTTTTGTGGTCTTTTGGTGATTGTTTTGCATCTCTTCGTGTTAGTTTTGTGTCTCTTTGTAGTCGTTTTGCATCTCGTGATCGTTTTGTGTCTCTTTTGTCTTGTTTTGTCTCTTTTTGTGTACTTTTGCATGTCTTTCTGCTCTTTTTTTTCTAGTTGTTTTGCGTCTCTTTTTTGGTCTTTTGTGTCTTCTTGAGATCTCTTTCTATTAATTTTGTGTCTCTGGGTAGTTTTCTGCGTCTCTTTTGTCTCGTTTCGTGTCTCTTTGTAGTCTTTTGTGCCTCTCAGTGGTCTTTCTTTCCCACATCCAACCCCCATAAGACCGATGTGTGGGGTTGAAATCGATGACACTGCAGGACTTCCCCGTCTTTAATCTCCAGCGTTGCACGCTTGTGTTTTTGCCCTCAGTGCTGCCTGCAGGTCACTGACTGGGAGCTCCTTGTTCCTGCTGTCACACACTGAAGCTTTAACAATGAACTCAGACTGAAACAAACGCTGGGGAAGCTCAGCCTAGAAATCCCCGAAACACATCCGCCGGTTTCCCATCGGCCGTCTCGCTCTCTGCCGGTCTGCCTGACTTCCTGCTGGTCTCGCTCTCTGTTCACATCCACTTTGTTTGCATTAACAAAGCGAATGATCGATGCAGTTGTTAATCAGACGGTTTATTGTGTGTGTTTCAGCTATAAAGGATCGGCTCCAGCTCCAGCAAGCCGACCCCAACCGCGAACAGAACGACCATCAAGTAGCTGTCCAGGTGTCGTACGACAGCGGCTATGCAAACACCCAACCCAACGCCACGCAACCGACTGTGGGCCCCGGCCACGCCCACAAACCCCATCATGGACCACACCACGGCACGAATACATATAACCACCACCAACCTCACGAACCCCACCGACCACCCCACCAACCGCAGGAACCCTACCGACCACCCCACCAACCGCAGGAACCCTACCGATCACCCTACCCACCACCCTACCAACCACAGGATCCCTACAGTCCACAGGAACTGCACCGGTCGCAGGAACACCACCAACCAGGTGAGTTTTGGTCCACCTGGTTGTCATCTACCTTTACTGCTGACCTGAGAAACCAGTCCATGGTCAAAATTTACCAGATCTTTGTAAGAACTGGATCCATCTGAGGCAAGTTCAGAACGGTTGTTGGAAGGAGTTGTGGTGGATCTACAGCGTAGGATGGGAGTCAGGATGTATTAGTTTATTGGATCTCGTTGGGATTGTTTCGTGTCTCCCTGTAGCTGGTTTGCGTCTCTTTGTTGTCTTAACTTTCTTTTTTACTGGTTTCGGAGCCTAGTTTACATTTTGATGGTCATATTTCTACTTTTACTGAAGCAACACATGTGTGTACTTCTTCCAGCACACACAACACACACACAGACAGACACACACTTCCTGCACAGGAAATCCTCTCTTTCTTCTGCCACGTTAACATTGTGTACGTTTACAGACGGCTGTGTTTCATGCGTGGTCGTGGTGTCACCCGACCAGCATGTTGCATGACATCACGGCCACGCTTCCTGACCGGAGCTGGCTGTCAGTTTCCCACAGTGCTCTGCTCTCCGTGACCTCTGACCTCGCAGCATTACATCATCCCCAACCCAGCACTCGTGTCCTCGTTCAGAAACGGTAATCTGAGATTTCTGGATGAGAAACATAAACACAACCATTAATCTGTTAAACCTGGAACAACTGACTGAGCTCACAAATCACAGACTTTATTCGGTTTTGGTGAAAATGTGCTTCAGTTTGTCAAAGTTACAGTTTTATCAGCTTTAGTATCAAAAACTGAAAAAG